CATCAATAATAAATGATGATAATGCGCAATACATTATTTAGTCGCAAGTGCCATGTCATTTCACAATGAACTATTGTAATTTATCAAATATATTATTCTCTTCGACTGCGGAGGCACACAAGTTTGATCCACCTCACATGTGGGCTTTGTCATTCGTCTGCGTTGGGACAGTGCCTGAAACTTTGCTTTGGTATTCAGGTGGATGCAAACAAGACCCTTCCAAGCGATGTTTTTCTCTTATCATTAGTAGGCAGCCAAGCAGCAAGACAACGTGCAAATCTACTGTAGAGTAATCACAATGAAAATGTGTATTTGTGTACATGACAGGTCTTTTCCAATCCACTGCTCGATAAAGCCCTGCCAATGCGGTGTCGGTCATAGGAGTGACTAGAAACTTTATCGGAATGAATGATAGACGTTTAAATCACTAGTGAAGTTGAGTGAAGAGGAGCAGAGACCATCAGTTGGTCGGATATGACATTTTGGATTTGGCTTTCGGGGATGGTGGTTGATGGGGATTGAGGTGAGAGGATGGTAGCAGATGAATGGAGAGATGCTCAGAAACATGGGAGCATTTCTCCCTTCGGCATAAAACTAGAATCAAGAAGGAAAGAAACAAAAATTACCAGTGAAATTATTTGCTTTAACAAAATCTTTGACCAAGCAAACTTAAATTGTGAATTAATTTCTCTAAACCCTTAATACAGATGTGCATTGCATAGCCGGTTAGATTACATTTTTACTTATTTAGCAAGTCTCACAAGCTGGATTTACCATTGGAACGAGCAGCTGAAGCGCAGGAAGGAGTCTTTTATGTCATACATTACATTTGTTGACATAAATTGGCTCCAAGCACTTATGTTCAATTTGAAATACAGCGAAAGATACACTGATACAGAAGTGACCTAGTTGTGGTCAGGAATGAGCACAGTGCGATTGGCAAAGCATTTTGAAAAGTGTGCAAAAGTGATAAATGCCTTGATTGAAGTTTCGTGTTGAGTGCACACTTAGTTTGTGGGGTCATTGGTGTATGCAGGCTGTGCTGTGGTGACGACATGCGGCTGACTCAGCCAGCACTCAGCGCTGCTTTTGTCTTGTGCCTGCAGCTCTGAGGTGTGTGCTGTCTGCTGCATGGGCAATGGGTGACTCACGGTACTCGAATACCCACAGTGACATTAAGATTGGTATAAGGATCCCCAGGAATTACCATTTTCCCTTAAGATGTGGGTGGCATTTTGATTTAAAGCTTTCGTGACTGCAGGGATTCATTCTTGGTTCTTTTGGTAGTCACGTAGAAGGGAGAATTTTATTGTTTTATATTTTTATTATTTTATTGTTTCCCTTCTACGTGACTTTACCGAAAGAACCAAGAATATTTGGGTGGCATTTGAAACTTTGAGATTACGTTTGTTTTTTTGTTGTTAGGAGTTGGTAGTATCTTGTACAATATGAGGAACGCTTATCAGATTGTAAAAACGCAGTTACGGTTATAATAGATATGACCTTCCATCTCAAAACATTTGTCCATACATAGATATTTCAACGGTACATTAATTGGGATGGTGCATTTAGGAAAATTAGTTTTGGTACAAAACGTTACAACAAAAATACGCATGGCCGTTTTTGCTTGTAATTTTACTGGCCAATCTTTGCGTGTCCTTGTACTTGGCACAGCTAAAGCCAACTTTATCGACGTTTCGACTGCTTGTGAGGTTTATCAGTCCTAGGTAAATTCTGTATTTGTTAGTGGGTATGAAAAAAAATCTTTCAAATGTAATGGCTTAGGGGCACGTCTTCCCCTAGTGTTGTTGAAATGGCACGGAACTACTTCCTGATTGGATGGGGCGCGGGTGTTAACACATTCGTGCATGTACGTAGTGTAGCCTCTGATCCGCACTGCTCACGTGCCCTGCTCACGTGATACTCAAGAAGGGCTTCACATATGGGTGGCTGGACGAAAGCGTGTCTCTCTGCCTACGTGTACACACAATGGTAGTTGCAACACCCAAACCACATTTTTGTGAGATAAAAATCAGTGAAGCAAATTTTGCTTCACGCAAATAATGCACATTTAAAACTCAAATGATTAAATGGTTCAACTATCGTTCTATATATGTATGTTTTGCAGGGTTTAAATATCTTCATGTTTCTGTGTACAGTAATTAAAATTGTTAAAAAGTAAAATACATTGTAGCAATTTGATGTATTTGTAAATGCAAGTAGAAAAATAACATTTAAAAGAACGTTCATCTCCACACTGCTTAACAGCTGGAAAGGCGTCTTTTTTTGGCGTCTTCTGGTCCAACACCAATGGAGACTAGGCTCTAATAAAAGCAGTCTCGGGTGTGGACCAATCAAATTCAAGGACAGTGCATATTATTATCAGAGTTGTCTATTTTGTTTGCATTTTGACTGCTTGTGTTGTGGTTATTGCAAACATGATGCCTTGAATAAAGGTGTCAGTTTTTGTGCCAATTAAAAGGGTAAAACCTATTCCTATAGCTGGAAAGGCTTCGATTCATGCAAAATTAACACCTAACAACCTCAACAGCTAATGGAAGCGTTCATCTGCGTGAGACAACTTCTTTACGTGGCCTTTTTTCACTTTTTTATTATGCACCATCTCTGAGGTATCACATTTCATAAGAGTGTATAGTTTAGCACAAGTTAACTTGTATTTTATTCACCCACCTACGGACAATTTATAAACGTAAATGGGTTTGGGCAGGACACATGAGTAGATTGGATGATGGCTGATGGATGAGACTGGTAATGGGAATGGCTGCTCAAACGAGGGGAACTCATCCAAAAGTGTGACCACTATGGAGATGGAGCGATGACATCAGTTCAAGTGCAGGAGTGTTAGCGGCACTGGACCCGGCACTGGACCGTGAAGGATAGCGATGGCATGGGGAGGCTCAAATCGAGCAGTCGATACACAATAGGCAGGTGATGAATTTGTATTTCATAAACAGTTGTTACTCTTCAAACATTGTGAACAAATGCGCCTCACACGATTTCCCCCCCCGTGATCCATTGGAAGGAGCAATAATGTTTTTCAGTTGTACAGAAAGTTATCACACGAAGCCAACATCCATTATGTACAATTAATTTGAATTGAAGATAATACATTGTTACATGAAATATTCTATGCACATATCGCAAGAAGCGATTTTCAATGATGAATTTAAACACCTCTGTAATAATGTTACACTCCTTGAAATAATAATAATGATCAGATAACAGTACATTGATTAGGGTTTCACACTTGTAAAGAGTTAAGACTTGATTTATAACAAAGTGTGTTTAAAAAAGTTTATAGTTCAGTAAATATAAGTACGTGATACCAATTGTACCATGATGCTGGTAAACTTTTGGTAAATATTGCATAGGAAGGCACATGACTGGCTGCACCTCAGGCCAGGTATTGTTTTGCTAAAACGTATTTCCTCGTAATACTGTATTGTACTTGATTTGCACAACACCCATGGCAGTAAATATTCCAGATCGTCACTGCATTGTAATTTTAAGCTCTCTTGTTTTGGGGAGTGGTAGTATTGCCCATCTGAAGGTGTTTTTAAAACATTTGAGCGATCTTTTTAAATTGGTGTTTATCAGCTGCCAATAAGGTAAACCGTTGTTTTATGTGAAATGTTTAAAAATTCATGCACTGCACTTATTGTTATGTATTAAGAAATATAAAATCAACTTTGTGAAGTAGCATCAGCCTCTTGGCCTCTAATGGAAACATACAATATTACTCTGTTAGCAAGTGTTGCTTACGTAATAAATGGAAAATTTAAACAGCAGAAATGATTAAAACTCATACCTCCACTCAAGACCATGACAAGTGTTGGAAAATAAATAAAAATGTACCTCTTGGTACATATCTAGTGCTGGATAAAGGCCATGTCTGTCGTTGGGCTTGTTTGGCTCTACTTAACCATGCTGGTGAGCCTGTTTGTTGAAGGCTAGTGGCAGTGGTTAGCACACTGCGCTGTGAATTGCCAACCTGAGTTCACGGACAAATATTTGCTTGCCATGATATCCCTTTGAACAAATTGTTTTATGGGGCAGTGAATCCGATATAGATTCATCTATTTATTTGTCAAAGTAATTATCATGCGTCGATATCTATGTCTTAAGTGTCTTAATTGCTCTCCCCTCCCTTCTGCTAGTTATTTATTCTTATAAGTGTACTTCTTTTAGCTTTCCAAAATGTTCCTCATTACCTGTGATGAGGAAGTGTGGGATTTTTAAACCTGCTAGCCCAACAGTGCTGCCAGGACAAAGACATCCTTTGTAATTGTGAATACTTGTTGGCGTGTGTATTGAGTGTCATCTGGAAGGATGATGTTTGCATTTTAATCAATGACACAAAGTCCACTGATCAATGGCCTCACAGGGAGCTCTGCCATTTAAACTGTAACTCAACAATGTTTGTTTTATTTTCCAGGATAAGACCCACAGCTATTATACCTATTATTTAGAAGTGACCTACCTCAACAAAGAGGTTTGTCGTCTGGAAATGTATAGCAGCCACATACTGTAAACGCATGTTTCCAAATGTCGAGGGAAAAAAAACGGCAAACCCAGAGAAATCCACGCAACCACGGGGGGACCATACATAGTCAAAAAATACAGTCTTCAGGCTCAGGATCCAACCAATGCCCTCTTGTATACTAGGCGAGATAGTTAACATCTACACAATTTTATATTTGATGAGCCTTGAAATGTTTTTTGAAAAGCGATACCATTCACCAGGTGATAATGGTGTAAAACAAGATATTGATCTCTTTATAACTTCCCATTTCATTTTTAGTGTGACTTACATAAGTATCAAGTTGAACAAACATATTTATAAAACGTGTCCAATTAGAAATTTGTTCTAAAAAAAAACACTTAACTTGTCCATTTTAACCTTCAGTCTATTGGATAATTTAAAAGCCATTCACAAAAGCATTCGGGTCCTAAAAACAGCTGTGCCTTGTTTGCTGCAGGTAGGTTTGCAATGGCTGATAAAGAAGACAAGCGTAGCCCATCCACGACGGAGGAACTCAAGAATTCTGGGGCGGATGGTGGTGATGGAGTCGCCCTGCACGACAACACTGATGCATTTCCTAGCCGTAGCGACAGGGGCATGCCTTTCATGCAAAGGTGAGCATAGTGTAACCATTTCACCGTGCTCAGGAGTTGTTACACGAGTTGTTCTGTGTGTTAGTTTATCTTAAACCCCAGTGTGTGCAATGTCATCTGTTGTCTTGGAAATGTTCATGTGTCCTACCTATGCGAAGTGTGCGCCGTTAAATTATGCTTCTTAATTCTGTTGAGTGCTTCAGGGCTTGTTTTCTACTTGTGTGAGGTGCATTATCAAGTAATACGTGGCAATAATGATTACGCTTTATCTAATAGACTGCATTCAGCATCTAAGCACTGCGTTCACTGCCCACCATAGTTATTGCTACTTTCTCATACCGTACCATCACACCTCTCAATGACGTTTCACCATCAGCTGGTTTATAACATGCTTGACCGGCAATGAACACCAGAAATATTTCCATGTTATGTTAATTTGATGCAAACTTACTGGATAAAATGTTGTGTTTTATCTCAGTTTGAGTTTCCATTCCCTGCCATTTAAATGTTCTCCGTGTGAGTATAATTCATTTCAAACATGGATGAAAGTAATTACACGGCGAAGGCAACCCCGTGTGGTTGCCAAAAACCATGGATAGCATGGATTTTCCACACAACTCTTATCAGGACCCATTTGTGGAATTAGTGGGGGCCATGTATATTTGGTGTTAAAGATAGATAGGTCATGGATATGATGAGTTGCACTGTTCTTCATGACATTTCCTGCCTTCCGGGGGCTGGGGTACTGAGTGGCTGATGCAATTATGTAGGCCAAGATTCGTCCCATAACCGATTCTCTACAGGATTTAAGCAAGGGGAATGCGTACATTTACGTGGGATCGTAGGGATAGCTGAGAGCAGCAGCCTTAAGTCTGCAAAACAAAAGACAAAGATCTGCTGTATAGCCTTAGAAGACTGTTGGGGCAAGTACTTTGAGTGAGCACCTAAGAAGTAGGACTGAACGATTTGGGGAAAATATCTAATTGCGATTTTTCTGACAGATATTGCAATTTGATTTGCTATTACATTTTTTAAAGTCAAGCTTCAATTCAATATTCACTGTGTAATATATTTAAAACATGTGATGGAGCATTACCACATGATACCATCAAAATATGAACTGCTCTATATATTCTAATGCAAGGACGAGAACTTAAAATATATGAATTGCTTCCCACATGTATTTATTGAAATGTTTGAATTGAAATAGAAATATCAAACAGAACAATTGTCACGTTACATAAATAATGTAATAATAATAAAAAATAAAACAATTCCAATAAGAAAGTTATAGGAATTCACATTGATTAGCGATTTGCTAATCGCATTGTTTCAAATTGCGATTTGAAATCGATTAATCGTTCAGCCCTACTATGAAGCCTGGCACGGCACACGAGGGGGTGGGTAGCTAGTACCATGGTCGGCCACCTTTGTCTCTCGAGTGGTGATGTTTATACATTGCACCATGTGCTCATTTGAGGCTGAGTTGGCCTAGAGGATGCCCAGGACAAGTTCAGATAACCGTCACCGGTGTTGGTCATGAGCCGGAATCGAACTCGTGTCACCGGGTTTGGAGCACAACATGCTAACCGCTTCGCTTCTACTCCCCATGAGTCCACCTGTACTCGTATCCTACACATACCTGCGCTCTCACAAACACAGAAAAACGCGCACACAGACATGCACTATCACAAATACACACGAAAAGACACAAATACACAAGCACACAGCCACATATGCTCACAAATGCATACACAGCTGACACACAAACACATGCGGGCAATCATATGCAAATAATTTCCCCACAGACACACACTGTAAAAAATAGACATATAAATATATCCCAGATAGCCTTTTAACAGACTGTTGGCAAGGTTTGTTTTCCTGGCAGCTGATTGGCTGCTGAAGCGTGGGTGATGACGTAATCCCTAGCAACCACTGATGCACATCCATGTTTGCGAACTGGTTAGTAAACGTACAGATACTCTGTGCTTCACACTCCATGGTTCGGAGGGTTGCTGAAGTGTGGGTAATGACGTGGGTAATGACGTAATCCCTAGCAACCACTGATGCACATCCGTGTTTGCGAACTGGCTGGTAAACGTACAGATACTCTGTGCTTCACACTCCATGGTTCGGAGTTGGGATAATTACGATTTATGCAGTTTTGATGTACTCAGCCCCCTGGTCCTCTTTGTCTACCCATTCCTATCCTGAGTAATTTCCACATTCATCGCATCATGCTTCATATTCTGCTGCACCAATTCAAAAAACACCTTTTTGTCTTCTGTCTTTTACTGTATTCTGTTCTTTTTTGCCAAACAGCAGGACAGGTAAAAGAAAGGAGGAAAAAATGGAGGTGGATCCAGAAGGACTCTCGGATTCAGTGGCTTATAACATGAACTACTCTAATGTGGGATATTGTGTGATCATCAACAACAAGACATTTGATCAGAGCACAGGTATTTTTTTTATCTATTAGGGTTGTTGTATCATTGTTTCACCATTATTGGTAATCACGGGCAAAAAACGATTACAAATATGATCGGTTTTCCAACCTTTATCAACCCGTACTAACTGGCGTGGTGAAGTATCGTCATAGAAGCTCCATGACCGAAGCGCTGTGGTTGAGGCCTTCATCTAACAGTGAACTGATAAAAGTGCTTTAATATTTCATATGTATGTAATTAGTTGTTCCTTGACCAATTACGATTGGTTTGAGCCGTTACTCATAAATTAACTCGACGAATATCAATTCTATTACTTTTTGACAACTTCGAAAGCTTTTTTAACAACACGTGCCGATTCGAGATGCATTGCATTTATTTAGCAGTTTGATTGCTTGAAGCTAAAGTCACTGATTTATCCTTTAAAATGAGCACTTGTTAATGTATCCACATGAGACAATGGCTTGACACGTCCAGCAGCAAAGACGTGTAGATGGTTTCATACATTTTTTTAAATTGTATGCGCATTTTATAATAAAGGTTATCACTACGTTATAAGATGACTGAGCCTATGACCAAATTACCCAGAATGTGCCGATCTCATCAGATCACAGAAACGAACGAAGCAGTGTTGAGCCTCTCTTGCATGGATGGGCGGCCACTCTGCATACAGGCGTTGTAGACTGCGGGGCTACATAGTGGGCAGCAGAGCAACATCAATCGTTGTACTGTACCTCTGTGCTCAAGCATCTATATGCTCTGCACCTTCACCAACCCACACCGATCAGAATGCCGAACTATGGTCAAATAACCCCCATGACCTACACGGTGTGGGGAGAGCGTTATCCAGTAAGGGATTGACAAAAGAGCTGTATATGTAAGGTGACTGATCTGTTTGACTTCTTTCTGCTGTTAAGGAATGGGTGAAAGAACTGGCACAGATGTGGATCGAGATATGCTTGAAAAACTTTTCAAAGATATCGGATTTAAAGTGGAAGTGAAAAACAATATGAAAAGAAAAGAGATGGTCTCGTATATTACAGAAGGTAAAACACATTTTACATTAGATGTTTGTTAAGATACAAAACAATGGAATCCAGGGATAAAAGATGGCCTTGTTTAATATAAATATCACACAGGCAAATTAGTGTCAAGGTTGCAATTGAGGCGTTTTAAATGAACAAAAAGCCAACATGTCTTTCCTTTAGCGAACAATAGGGCAGATACCCAGACACCCATCTCCAAGCCTGGGGCAATGGTGGAAATGACACATTCCCATTGCATGGACCCATCTCTCACAGAACAACCATAGTTGACTTTTACAAATGCTATAATTTCTTTTTTTAAACATCAAAGGCATGATGGGCTCATTAAAAAAAAGTTATTTTGTTAATTGGTTATCGGCAGGTTTCTCTGAGTATTTCACTTGAACACTTTTGCGAGAACTGCAGAGGGTAATGATAAAGGCATACAGTGCGATAAGGGGTCCAATTTTGAAATATTCTGGCTTAAAAACAGACAATCTATGGTGTAATAACATTACTCTAAGTAGATTTACAGATCTAACAAACAGAACATCTGCATGGAAGAAAATTAAGTGCAACAGTCCCCATTCGCCACTACTAAGTGACGGTGATGTCACAGCAGCGTTTGTTATAGGCTCTGTGCACTTTGAGGCCACGTGATGTCTTAAAGGCTTGCTTTTGCAGGAGGCCTCGGGATAGACCCAGATATCATTATCTGGCCCGCACCTCTGATAAACAGGGCTGGCTACGTACGGTGTGAAAAGTTCAACAGACACATTATGGCTGAGATGATTGGCAGATGCACCACCTGTGCTCCCCTGCTGTGCCAAGTAAAATCCTCGCATTAAGAATGCACGTTTTCTGTTTCTGTGAAAGTTTGTACACTCTTTGTAAAATGCTGTGGCCTTTATTTTGCTTGCTGTGACATTGGTAGGCCACGGTGGCAAGATGTTAACTACCTCGCCTGGTATATAGGAGGTCATGGCTTTGACCCCGACCCTGACTCCTCTATATTTGTAGTTTCCGTGTTCTTTCTGTCCGTGGTGCTGTGGATTTTTCTCTCGGTGCTCCAGTTTTTCCCTCCATATTTAGAAACACGCGTTTAGAGTATTTGGTAGCTATAAGTTTCCACATGATAAGCCACTTCGTGGAGCTATCATTTGTGGCCAGGTGGCTTCTGAAAAAAAGAGCTATTACTGCTCGGTGGGCCTCACCTGGTAAAATAAAATTGTACAGAGTTTATTGGTTGTTAACTGTGCTGGTTTGCCTTGGGTGCAGTTGCGGAGAAGGATCACCGGCAATGTGCATGCTTCGTGTGTATCCTGCTGAGCCACGGGGATGAGGGAGTCATCTACGGCACGGACAATTATTTGCCCATTCGCGATCTCACCACCCCCTTCCGCGGAGACCTGTGCCGCAGTCTTGTCGGCAAACCCAAGCTCTTCTTCATACAGGTATGCACAGCTGCAGGAGGTTGGGCAAAAGTCTTTAGGTGGCTACCATCTGACAGCTGTCCTTCAGGCACACAGGAGCATCAACAACAACAAAGTAGCAGTGACACCACCACCACGGCGCTTGCACCAGGTTATGTGCACTTTTGAGGCCACGTGAATTTTTCAAAGGCTCGCTGACAAGAGGTCACGTGACAGACCCAGGTGCCTTGGGTTTACTGACTGAAGTTGTCTGGCAGGCGCACCACCTGCAGGAGCATTGTCATACACACAGACACAACGCTTGTTTATATGTGCACAAGGACGAAGACTTGCAAGCACACGCAAAACACAAGTCCCGATTGCTGTTGGTGAGCACCAATTACAGCCAGTGTCACACATGTAGACTATGCAGGATGCGTGTTGATTTGCAGTGGGCATTGGTCCAAAGGTGTAGGCTGCAGCGCATGTGGAGGGTTGTTAGGGTTTTACCTGTACAATAGTTGCACGAACTGGAAGACATAACCAAGTGATGGTACGAGGTGTTGCAGGCTAATTAACCGTGGATTTTGTGTTCATGCAAACAAGTCTCTCCAGCAAGGCTTTATGTAGGCGTTTATCTAATTTTACTTATCCATTTACTTATAAACTAGCAGAGGTGGGATGTCTTTAGGCTTGCAAATAACATACACCTTGGGCTTTTTTCAAAACTTGACTTCTGCTAATTTCCATACTCATGTAGGGATAATATTTGGATGTAGTCGGCGAAGAAGTGGTGGGAGAAGTTAAAGGAGGAGATGAGTGTTTCGAGAGGGGAGATGTAGAGAGAGGAGGGAAGGGGGGCCAGGACAGAGCCTTGGAGAACACCTGCTGTGACGGGTGAAGGAGGGGTGCAGGAGTGCTTGAAGGAGACCGAGGATGAGCGTGAAGAGAGCTACGATTGGAGCCAGGATAAAGCAATGCCGGAAGTTCCCAGATTAGAGAGAGTAGAGATAAGAGTGGGATGATCGACAGTGTCAAAAGCCGAGGAGGGGTCGAGGAGAATGAGGACTGGGGAGAGGTGGTTCTGGATGATAATGAGTGCAGTTTCTGTGGAGTGGTGCGGACAAAATCCAGACAGGTGGAGTGGGTAGTGGGAGTGGGTGAAGATGAAGTTGTTGAGGCGGGAGTGGACAAGACGCTCTAACTTTTGGAGGGGAAAGGAAGCAGGAAAATGGTCGCGAGAGAGCTGGGGCAGCAGCAGTTCACCGGTGATCCATGGGTGAGTGAGTACGTGGACAATTGGTTGAGTGGGTTGATGCGCGAGCGAATAGTTGGATGAGGGTGTATGATTGAGTAGGGAGGTAAGTTAGTCGGCGAGAATAAGTGAACAAGTTGCTGAGTGATTGAGTTGGAAAGAGACGAACAGTTTTAGATGGGAGCGGGGAACGAGCAGCCATTAGATGATGAGAGAGTGAGTGAATTGGTGTGTGAGTAAGTGGGTAACAGATTCATTTTTTGAGCTTGTCAGTGAGTGTTAAAAATGTTGAAGGGGGGGTGTAAGATTGGATATGACGGTAATTGAGTGACTGAGAGAGTGATTGGGTGGGTGCATCGGTGAGTGCATGTGTAGCTGAATGAATGAGTTGTGGACATGCAAAGAGGTTTACATGGGAGCGGGGGAAAAGTACGCATAAGTTAGCGAATGATTGAGTGAATTTGAGTAAGTGTGAATGGGTTAGTAGGAGAATTGTGAATTTAATGAGTGAGTGAGTGAAACAATGGTAGTTAGAGGGTGTATTATGTAGTGAGCAGGTACGGTAGTGTGAGGAAGTGGGTGAGTGAGTGGTTGGGTGTGTGAATGCATAAGTAACTGAGTCAGTGACTGGGGGACAAACGCAGGGACACAACGTTAGCAAAAACACAGAGGGATCAGGACACGGACAAACATAAACACGGGGTACAGGAGACAGAAAAGCACGCGCAGAAACACGAGACGAACACAGACAGACGTAGGGATATAAGCACGGGCAGGGACCGGTACAAAGGGAAGTGAAGAAGTGAAGGACAAAGAGCTGCACAGGTAGACGCAAGACGCACAGATAAGGACAAGGCGGCGGAAGGGCGCAGCCCCCAGCGCATCCATGCCGTCGCGAGAAGCAACAGCACAGCGACATCGAGCGGCCAGCTGACGCAGCCCACCAGATGGCGTGGTTCGAGGGCCGCGCGGTTTAGCGACTGCAAGACCGCCGGCGAGTGAGAGCCCGACCCAGGCACCCCTGGTGACAGCGGAGCGGCGAGGACGCATCGCTGCGGGGGAATGGCTGGGCAGGCGTGGCTGCGCCACCCAGCGGCCGTGTAGCTCAGCTGCAGTTCAGACCGGCTGCGGTGGCGCCATGGGCAGCTATGGCAGTTCCTGGGGAAGGGGCCGTGCGGTATCGCCACCACAACGGTGCGGGACCCCCCCCCCCCCCCCCCCCCCTGAAGTGGCACAGCAGGCAGCCCCATGGTCTCACGACCGCCTAGCAGGGCGGCGCGAGTGAGGAGCCGACAGCGGGACCGCCTTGCCACCGCATGCAGCGGCGGCAAGGCGGGGGGTCCATCAGGGCAACCCCGAAGGCAACCCGACGGTCGGGCGAAGAGCCATGGAGGAGCATGGAGACGCGCAGGAAGGCACACTGCAGGGCCACAGCAGCGTGGCAGATGGTGGAAAAGCGGGCGAGTGTGTGCCACGGAGTGGGGGGAGTGGGAGAAGCCCAAAGTATGGGGCGGCTCCACGCGGGGGCAGGGCAGCGAGCCGGAAAAAAACGACTCGGGTGCCGTAGCAAAAATAAAGAAATACAGAAGAAGGGAAACCCGAGGGAACTGAAACACGAAGAAGGGTGTGGGAGGGGGGGAGAAGGGGGTGAGAAAGGTGGGGACTGGGAGCGATAGATTGAGCAGGGAAGAGCTGCCTGTAGGTGCGGCGCCATCTTCCTGCATGATGCATCATCGACATGGTCCAGAATTTTATAATAAAAACAGCATTTCTGCTACCCACAAGCATTTTTTTTTAACTCGAGGAAATGTATACCTGTGCGTATCTGTTGTAATTCCACCTTCAAAGGGCTTATCAACATGCAGATATTCAGTCTGGTGCATTGCTTTCCAAAAGCAACAGAATAAACAATGGAATTTGGACAGTTTATGTGCAGCATTTTTTGCTCTGCGCAAGAAATCCACCGCATACTTTGATGGAGGCCCATATATGCAGAGTGTGCAGGTCGCTGTTAAACGCTGTTGCTCGTGCATTGCAGGCATGCCGCGGGACAGAGTTTGATGAGGGGAGCACCATGTGCGCGGATAATGATGTGGAAACCGATTCCGAGTCGATATCTCGCCAAACCATCCCAGTGGAGGCAGACTTCCTCTACTGCTACTCGACTGTGCCTGGTGAGCACGGCTGTCTGTGCAAACCGCTATGGTCTCTTCACCTATAACGATTATTTCTGTGGGCAGTATGTTGGCAGGGCAGCTTGGTGACGACTCAATGTTTCTGTGACCTGCCTTCGTTTCACTAGGCTACTACTCGTGGCGTAACGTCGCCACGGGGTCGTGGTTCGTGCAGGCGTTCTGCAAGGTCCTCAAAGAGAGCGCCAATTCTAATTTGGAGTTGATGCAGCTGCTTACGCGAGTCAACCGGAAAGTGGCATACGACTACGTTTCGTTCTCAAGTGACACACGCTTCTCCGGCAAGAAGCAAATCCCCTGCATTGTCTCCATGCTCACGAAGGAGTTTCACTTCCCATCTCCCCGCTAGGAGCATTGTCACAAAAGTTTAACCCCCATCTGTGGTTATGCAAATGTGCAAAGGGATGAACTAATATGGTGTATTGATATGTTTAATTAAATGAAAGAGTGTGCTGTAAGCCAGTGGGCATGATTTTTAAAAAAATAAGAATTCTTAAACGTTTAGTACCATATTCTTGGTTCTTTCGGTAAAGTCAAGGTTGTTCCTTGAAATTGAATGGTTTACTTAGCAACTAGGTTATATGCTACATGAAAAAGATGTGATTTTTTTTCTGATGTGACCTTTTAAAACTGTATCTCAGGTTAAGAAGGCTTTGTGGAAAAAATTCTAAACAGTTCAATAAAAGCGTTGTATTTGACATTCCTAGGTGTTCCACTGTTTATTTGGTTTATACTCAACATTAAATGATCGCTGGGTCTATATTGAGTTAGGTTAGCGTGAATAGTGTTACCATTTTCCATGTCTATAGTTTCCCTTTTTGCAAGTCATGAATAACAAATGCGCATTCTTTTCTTTGACGAGTCACTAGACAGAACGAAGAGGCAAGGCACAATGATAACTTGCATGTTTGTAAATACCACAAGGTGTCATTGACAATTATAACAACCGCCATTCACCATTACGTGGTGGTGACGTGCCAGGCTGTGTGGGACCCAAAGAGAGGACCCTAACAAAAAAATCAGGCTTTAGCCAGTGCTCTGCCAACTTAGTTGGGAGGCATTTCCTGTTTGTGGATTATATTGCGTATTTTCGGGTAGAAAAATATTACCTATTCCACACCAACATTTCTGGTTTCAAGAAGCACCAAATTTAAGGAGCACCGTTTTTGAGTAAAACCACATTGTTATAAAATGCAGGTTCTTGCTCGTGTTTTTCTTATGCCGCTTTGCTGATAATATCCATAATGAATGTCTTGTGTACTTGTATGCTTCAATGGTTATGAAATATTCTCCAATGTAATTTCCCGCATGTGTTATTTTGAAACATGCATGCATTTTGAAAGAGCCTTCATTATTATCTTTCGCAGAGTAGTTTTTTTTGCGAATTTGTTTCAATGAAAATACACTAATCTAGTAATGTTGTGTAATGATTCATAATTGGTTTCTGTTTGGTTGGGTCATCATGTTAATGTGTCGTGAACCCTCCTCCACCGGACCCAACCAATTGATAAAAGCGTCACTTGAAACAAACGTGGGAAAATGTGTGACTACTTCAACAGCACCACCACCAGTGTTGTTGTTTTTATAGAGAAATCTCACAACACTTCAATGGGTGCGACGTTTGGCTGGAGATTTCATCCAGTATCAGGTTATTACGAGTTTACAATGCCACTAGTGCTGCTGAATCGGTCATACATGTCACATGTTTGATTAAAGTGACACCTTTATTATTTGGTCGTGTGGGTGGAGGAGGATTTATGGCACACATTTTTACACGGTGACATGACCCAAAGGAAACCAATTATTAATAATATTGGTATTGAAAGCCTATGGATAAAATTGTGTATTTTTTTTTACGTATGTACATGGTTTGGCGCAATACAACTTTTTTCACATGTTTAATCACTTATCACAGATTCGGATTGGTGCCTTATGATAACTGTTCATTGTAGCAATTTCACAATTGGGAAAACGTGTGTGTAATAGACCGTGTATTCACCCTTTGTTATACGTTGGGGTTTTAATAATGTTTCATGTCATCTCATGTCGCCAGCATGTGAGAATGCCGTATTGTATACGGTAATGCCGGAGCTCTATTAAGCCATGCATTTTGAATGCCATGTGTCATGCATACAACGCTTTTTGGTGTAGCAAAGGTGTGGCCCTTAATGTGCCTTCCGACCTGAAACGGAGCCGAGCACCATAACACCGCACAGGGAAGGACATGAAAGAAGGCACCTTTTAAGCTAAACCATATAGATATTTTGCTCAAGTGCTTTATTCTGTGTTTATGATTGTGAGCAAAACCAAAGCCTTTCTCATTTACGTTTCCGAATCCACAATAACCTTGCTTTGTCTTTTAAACAGGCATCATGAACTTGGCGTAATGGTTGAGTTTCATTTCACCATGAAGTTCTGTCTGACTGCTGCATTGCACTACATTTTGTATTTGTAATGACAATGTTTGTATTATTAAAATATACAGTGCACTCACTACGTATACTGGTGATTACAATTGTGGCTGTCCATTATGGTCTTCGGAAGAGCAGCGATGCAGTGGTCAGTGCACTGCTCTTTGAACCCAGTGAGTCGAGTTAAATTTCTAGCGACGGCGAACATCAATGGCAAGTACTATCTGAATCGTCCCTTGGCCTCCACCTGTTCACCAATGTGCACTTCTAGCTTCGTGAATTATGGTCTAACGAGTGGCGCGGCCTGGGTAGGACTTCATCCAACAGTGGATTGACAAAAGGGCTGTGAATTATAATTGTAATATATAATAAATTTGTCGCAATGTAACATCAGATGTTTAAACCCAACAGCATTTTATTGTGTAAAGCCATACGTAGATTGGCAACATGATCGACAGTAATGTGCGCATTAAGTTCGCTATTGTGAAAACACAACACAATGGCATTTTTTTTTATTCAAAGCTTTCGTGACTGCATTGATTCATATTCTTGGTTCTTTCGGTAAAGTCACGTAGAAGGGAAACAATAAAATAATAAAAATATAAAACAATAAAATTCTCGCTCTTTGTTTTTTTCGTTAAAGTCACGTAGGTAAAATAAAAATAAAATAAATGAAAACTAAATTAAATCACGACGTTTCAGAGGCAATGCAAGCTTCCGTCTTTAGGTGGACGTTTCGACTGCAACACAAGCAATCATCAGGTGTGAAAACCACAGCAAGAAAATTTGAATAAAGTGGCGGGTTTTTTTAACGTTAGCACCACGGAAAGCGATTTGGCAGTTATTCAGATGGACGAGTCCATCTATGTTAGGAAAAGAGGAGGGGGAGACGAAAATAATGGATGCGGTCTGAAAGCCACCGTAAGCGTGAACAATTAAGACCCGAAATGGTTGATCAAATCCTTCCAATGATTGCTAAGCCAGAATCTATCTTCTCGGTTGAAATTGTCTCTGTATATGTAGATAGCCTCATGAACGAATCTCTCATGGTAGCCAGATGGCTACTTCTACGTGACTGTACCGAAAGAACCAAGAATACAATGGCATTTGTTAAATTTTATAGCCTAAATAGAATATTAATTGCCTGGTTGTCCTGAACTGTGTTAATCTTTAAAAATATTATTTCTTGGAAACAAATACTTTAATTAATCACATCAGCCAATCGACTCGTATCTTCATTGTGGTTCTTTAATTAGGTGTGCTTCCTCCCTTGGCTGCCATGTAATCGATCAGCCCCTCCATTCTTGCAGTGTCCTAAGCCCTATTTTCTTGAGTCGATACGTCTCTTAATTTGCATTATTTGTCTGATCCATGTGTTTGTTTAGATGTAATTCCCAGAATGCATTCTTCTTTGCTTACTTTTCATTTCCTGTTCATTTCATTACTTTACTCCTTTATGTCCACTCATTAAAACATCTGCATAAGCTCATTCCTATGCATCAATGCCCTGAGAGGCGGTAATGGCATGGGGATGCTTTCATCTGGCAGTTCTTAGACATGACTTCGTGATTATGATATACAAAATACATACGAAAGTTACTTATATTGCAATCTCATGCATGCATTCATAATTTTAAATTTTGAAAAAATGAAGTTTGGGTCATTTTCTTTTTGCTGGTAAGTTTGTAATGGGATTTCAATATTGTTCAACGTTTGTTAATTGCGTCATTCATCCATACAATCTTTGTCTATTTTGACAATTTTTTTCCCAAGTAACATTGGTTGAAATGTAATAAATGAGAGATACTTTTAGTTAGGGGTTTTCTTCAACCAGATGACAACATTTAGCTGGAAAATATCACATTTTGTATAATTTTTGGCCCTAGATGTATTGTTTATTACATTATATACCACTGTGCCTGAATATATTAAATCAAATCTCTATTTTATAAAGGTGTCTTTCAGTGAGCGCAATATTTTTTTTATTTTGGCCTGAAATAAATTCAAAATCGCTTAAAACTCCAATGTGCGCATGGTTAATCATTGGACAAAATCCTTCCCATGCCGTCGCAATCGCCTTGCGCGTCTCTGTAAAGCCATTTTTGCCACACGAAATTTCCCTGCAAAATATGATTACAATTGCAATCCGGTGCCCTACTTTATCATTGCTCAACTGTTATATGTGTGTTTTTGTGCAGTACTGCAATTATGTAATATCAAAACATCGTTTTACACTCTTCCCTCGCATGTCTTTGCGAATGTTGTATTTGCAACGTTCAACCACGAGATGGCAACACGCACACGTGTTAACGAAAACTCTAACAACAAATCCTGCCTAATAGGACCTTTTTTGCCAGTACCAAAGTATGAAAAAAATGTAAATAGGTTTTGCCCTTTCTGGCAATAAAACAGGCGTTAAGATGTTCAATCGCCAAATAGAAACCTTTTGCACAGGAATCAAAGTCTGCAGTAACCAGACGTACTTGTGGTGAACATGCAAACAAAACATGCTCTGATAATTATATATGCATTGTCCTTGAAACCAATTGGTCTACATCAGAGACAACCTTATTTATAGGGCCTAGTCTCACCAGTGTAAACCAGAGAACGCCGAATTTCAGTTTCAAGGGCAATGCATATATAATTATCAGAGCATGTTTTGTTTGCATGTTCACCACAAGTACGTGTGGTTAATGCAGACAGGATTCCTTGAAAAAGGTTTCTATTTGGTGTTTGAATAGCTTAACACCTGTTTTATTGCCAGAAAGGGTACAACCTATTCTTATTTTTTGATGTTAGAAAGCCTGCCTTTCCACCTCTCACTAAATCCATTCAACACTGGTGACCGTTCAGACAGAAGGAGTACAGAACATAAAAACTTCCTGTTGAATATCATGCCTTTGATATGAGCTCTTGCGTTACATTAATTACACTTTATGATCACATATGTCCACGTTTTCCTCCCGATAGTGGCTGAGCCTCACTTTCAACGTTCTTCTCTCTACCGCGACTGTGTGAAATTAATCCTCGTTAGAGCGTAAAGTTCCACAAGCCTCTTGCGTTGTAACTGGCCTTCAAAGTGGCGGTTGAATGATAAATTACACTAAAGTGCTGAAACGGTTTTTTTTGTTTGTCCAGTCCCGTCACACAAAGCCACCCATGGAAACCAGACATCACATGACACATTACGATTTAGGCGATGGTGCCACAATAAACACGAGTGCCACTAATCTGCATGTTGCAACAGTTGCTCGTGGTTGAGTGCAGTAAAACCTGGGCACGATTAGGTCCATGAGTCAACCAAATATTGTAATCTACGTCTTTTTTGTGGGCCGATATCTTAGGCCACTTTAACGGTGGAGACAGCCTATCTCTGCCTCCGAAAGGCGAGAAAAGCCCAGCGTGATGCAGCCGAGAGATGCCAATGACTTTTCTAAACCCCGCCTATCACCTCCCGTCCAGCGGCACAGTGGTAACAGAATGCAGACTTTCCCCGCCAATTATTTTCATATTCGATTGGTTGAGTAATGAAACCGATAATCGATTACGATATCCCCGTTAAGTTGTGCGATTAAGTGATGGTGTAATTATTACGATTATAATTACGAGGTTTAACGATTGATTCCTTAGAGTGGATTCAAACAATTATTCGCTTATTGTACAATCTAACGCTGAATGTTTAAATAACATTGCCCAAAAGTTGAGCTTGAATAACATTCCAGAATACGTACTCCGACTTGGAAACTAGTATGTCTGCGCCAGGACTGACTCATCTCAGACAACAGTCATACTGGCTGGAGGCCACACTCCCACTTGTTGACTCGGGTTCACCAAAACACGGCAGGAAAGGGCCTCCTTTAGTCCGCGGTGCTCGTAACAACCCTTGACATATCCGATATTTAGCAAACTAAAAAAAAGAAACGTGTGTTAGATGAGCCGAGGTACAACAACTTACGGTTCAGAAGGCGCTTATACGTAATACAAATAGAAGATGTTACGCATTGATATTTGTATACACGCACAGCCATAGGCTGCTGTCATCCAGCAGTGCTTACAGGTATGTAAAGATAAAGGCACAGCCATCTAATTTATTGATCAGGGCACTGCTGGTAGAAATATCACCCTAAAGGCGACTAAAGGGTGACATGTACAGAATATGCACAACCCTTTTGTCAATTCACTGCTGGATGAAGGCATCCTGTGGGGGTTACACGGCCATACTTCACCACCCTGGTCGGTGCGAGTCGGTGAAAGTGGAGAGTGCAAGACAGTTTTGGGTCTATCCATTTAGTCCGTACGCAAAAATCTGTCAAAACTTGACCTCTTCCCCCCTCCCTGTACGCACGCGTACTTTTTACACCCCCCCCCCCCCCACCGAATCCTATAGAACGGCCGATATTTAATCCACGTAGAAACGATCAAGGATTAATAATATTAACGTGTTTCAGCAAACAGCTCACCGCCGGCTGCATTAAAGAATTAAGTTGCGTACCTTTAAAAAAGTTTGTCTAGTATCCGCTAGGTTCAAACGCCGACTGAACCCAGGGATTCCGTCAACAGACGCAATGTCAGCACAGAAGCGTGATAGCTGCAGTCAGGGGCACGGTGGCACACAAGTGACACCTCTCCCCACAGCCCGCTGCTAGTGCTTGTCTGACAGCTGAAGACACTGAACTGTGGCTCATGTTGAAGGTCAATGTAGACACATTATTATCGAGGCATCACCCCCCCCCCCCGCCCCCTTTGTTTCCTATGCGTACGCACATTGTCAGTAGACCCCCCATACGCAAGCCTACACATTTGGGTTAACCACCCCTCCACCCCCTCCATGCGTACGTACTCAATGGATGGTCCCTAGAGCCATGCGGTGCCTTGCACATCACAATGGATGGCCCCTAGAGCCACGCCGTGCCTTGCACATCACAATGGATGCTGCTGCACTGCCCCCTAGTGGCAATGTAGCCCCGCAGCAGCCAACGAAGCCCCTTGATTTGAAGCTTTTGTGACTGCAGGAATTCATACTCTTGGTTTTTTCGGTAAAGTCACGTAGGTAGAAAAAATTAATAAAATAAAACAAAAAAG